AGGATCGAAAGGACATGCCAATGCGTTTGCCGATTTCTTGAGCGCGATACGTGCAAGGATTTTTTCGCTAGCCCAGTTATGTGCAAGCCCCTCAACGTTCTCCACCAACGCCAACTCATTCCATCCAGTCGACATCATCAGAGCACCCCATGCGCCTTATCAGCGCTGCCTCCACATATACATATATACATATATATATATATATATGTATCTATAGTTGGGGCGATTCTGGCGACGCTTTTAGCTATTTCCTATTAAGCTATTTGTTGCCAGCTCTCTTTTCGCTCACTCTCGCGCTCTCTATGCCTCTCTCTCACGTTCTGTTGTACGCTTGCCAAAATCGTGTATGGAAGTTGCATAGCAAAAGATACTACTAAAAGCTTAACCCTCGACAAGCACACACACACACACACATGTATCTCGTTTATCGATTTTCATCGCATTTGGCCCCCTTGTGCCACTGTCTGCAGCTGCACCCTGTGCCACACTCCAGGCATGTGTGTGTGTGAGTATGTGTGGATTTTTGACATGCCAACGCATTTTAAATTTGCATTTTTTGGCACCGAGACTGGCAAAATTTTTAGCTAAAAGCGACTCCGCATATTGCACATGTACTGTGTGAATGTATATAAATATATATATATATAATATAAAACTACCAAAATATGCCGATTAAGCGCTCACAGTGAAAAAACTTAAAGTACATTAAAGAAAGCAAAGAGAGAGAACAGTTTGAAAAGCGACTGCGATTTGCACTCAAAAAGTCGACACAAATTTGCATTTAAAAGTCAATAAACAATAAGAAAATTCTTGTTTATTATAAGTTAGACATGAACTAAAAAATTCATAGCTATTCGACTGCAAAAATTTTTATTTAAATTTTTAAATTAAATTATTTCCAATTCAAGTAATAAAATGCTGAGTCTTTGTCCGCACAGCGCTCACCCACCATCAGAGTTACTTAAGTTTTTGTTTTATTAAATTTATGAGCATCCACAGACACACACACACCCACCTAAATACACTCGAACAAACACATAATGCCACATAAAAGCTGCCTACAATAAGTCACTGTCATAAGCTGGCCCTATATGTGGGCGTGTGTAAAGGAACCGCAAGTGGCAGCCACTGTGATTTCGAAGGTAACTTTTGTGAATTCTTCATGATTTATTAATGCTGCTACATTTGACCAAGTATTCGCAAATTGCCCAACACTTTTAGCAGACTTTTGCCAACACTTTTTTCGGTTTGGGTCCAAAATACATGCATAAATATTAATTAAATTCTGTTAACATTTGCCCACCAAGAAATCACACCCCTGGCGCACATTCGAAAACGGGTCTCATTAAGTCTAGCCACGCCTACAATTAAAAGCAACGTCCCCTCGGCCGGCTGCACACCCCCAAGACTATGAGAAAACTTGACGCAGAAATTATTATAAGCGCTTATAATAGATTATGTCAAAAACTCGGAATCGCGCCCAACTTTGCCAGCGAAAAGTCAAGCGGGGAATAGAGAAAAAAATAAAAAGCCAAATAAAAGGAAAATGAAGAAAATTGTTTAAAATTAATTTGAAAACATAAAATGCTTGCAGCAGTGGGACATGGAACTCGTAGCTTCGGGGCTCGGGCGTCAGTCCTCGGGCCTTGGGGCTTGGGACTGGGTATTACAAAACAAGAAGTACCATCGCATGGACGTTGAATTTGTTATGTGTCACGGACAGCGTCCAGTTTAAACAGTTCGACAAATTTGCTGGCCAGCCCAAAAATGCTTGGTCTGACGTTTCTCCATAAGTTTTCTTTAGCTTTTTCTGTTTTCCTTATTAGTGACAGGCAAGCGTCGCATAACGAAGACTTAAAGATTTTTGCGGTTATGCTAGCATCCATAACAAAATCTGAGCTTAAGTCTTAAATATTCCAAGCTAAAACTTAAAATAATATTCTGAGAGTCGTGAATATTTGAGTGTATTGATAATTTTCCTTTAGCAGAATGGCCGCTTTCCTTTGCTTCTAACTTATCGCTGTCTACAGCTAAGCCTATTTTTCATTAATCTAATTAAGCCACGTAGTCGATAAGCCTTATGGTCAGGGCCAATCTAATGAAATTATGCCTCAGCAGCCGCACACAAATACGCACACACACTCAAATATATATATGTATACATATACAACCACTCAGAAGTGCGCAGGCATGCATTGTTTGACCTCCTGTCTTAATATTATTGATTTAGCGTATTAAGTTCAATTAGCTGCTGAGGAATTTTGATAGCATCATCAAAATGGCAAATCATTAGCAGCATTTCAAAGTGAAAGTGTTTGAAATGAAGGCCCCAATAAGTCACTTGGAAATAAGCAATTTTGAATTTTGAAAATACAATAAATAGAAATAAAATTGACATAACATTTAAATATTCATTTAAATAAAATTTATTAAAATGGCAACTAGAAATTATTTTTGTATTGCATTTTATATTATTTTTTTTAAGACTGCAAATTCATAGGAAATTTGATGTTACTATGATTTCAGATTCTTGCTAATTGCATAGTTATATATTCGATTTATAAACCTATTTTGAAATGTCTTCTATTATCTGTTTTTTAGTATAAAACCTCAATAATTATATTAGAACTTTGTTATTTTGTTACAATTAATTAATATTTAATAAAATTATATAAATTTAAAATCAATGAATTATATAAGACTTTGGTAGTTGATAGTTAAAAGGTCTGACCTGATTTTATGAGTATGTAAATTTTTAAATAAAAAAGTAACAAATATTTAAACCAATTTTCTTAGATTGAAAATTTAATTTTGAGCCAATGTTTTGCAATTTCTGGATTTTAGCGAAATTTATTCTCAACTTAACATCACATTTTTAAATGTCAAACACAAACTCAAATTATAAAATAAATTCAACTTTCAATTTAAATCATTTTAAAATACTTTATTTTATATTATTTAAATATTATTAACAGGTAAGTGTTGGCTATCTTTTCGGCAATACAAACAGAAATTAATTAATATACTAAATTACAGTAGAGAAAATATTTTCGTTTTGAAATTTATAGCATTTAATTAAACTATTAAAAATCACTCTAAAATGTAATTGGATTCTACTGAAAAATAATAATTTATTTCCTAACAACAACAAAAGATAAATCATGCAAACAATAACTGAATACATACGTATATTTTTAACTGGAAATGAAAGGTCGGCTTAATGCAATGTTGAATAAATAAAAAATACAACCTTTTTTTAAGAAGAGAAAATGACAAGAAAAACAACAACAGAGCAGGGAAATGTCCCTGAGGTACGCACCTAAAAAGAATGCTACAGTTGAGTAGAGAGACCCAACAGGAAAGTGCGATAAATAAAGCATAGGGATGTGGATGAGTATGAGGCTTGGGCGACATTTGCATTCAAATTCTGTTAGCGCTCGCTGGCCAAGAAGTGCACACTAAATGCTCGCAGGCGCACGAAAGTATGCTTTCAATTGTGCGCAATTTAGTACAAGGCACAACAAAGCGACTGTACGTGCGTGTACGTGTGTATGTGAGTATGTCTGCCTATTGTGTAAGCCTTAGTCAACGCTGTTGCCGTGCAAGCGCTTGACTAGGTGCGAACAAACGTGCGAAAGCGTCTAAAAACAAGCAACACGAAGTGCCTAAAACATGCGTCCTTAGTCCTTTTGCCCGTTTCTGATACCCTCTGCACATAAAAGTGCAATAAACGTTGGTATAATGCAGATATGTAAGATACTGGCAATATAAGGAAAACGCAATATAGATATTTCGCTTTGGGACAAACCAATTGGATATTAAGAAATCAGAAATTAAATTAATCCTCCAATCTCACATTCTTTGCTTCTCTTATTTCTCTAGAATTTTTTCTCAAAAATTTTAAGTGTAATTAAAAAAATCGATATTCCACGTTAATTTTCTTATTTTCTCTTGTTCAACTAGAGATGTTACTCTTAAATTTGTCATTTCAATAAGCCAAATTTTATAATATTTTCATATTCCCATTTTTACTGGATATATACTAGTCTATACATCCTGTACGCTTGCTGCGTTTGGTTAACTCAGCTGCTATGCCGACGACGACGACATGGACTGCGACTGTGATTACGATTATTATGATTATTGTTTACTACAGCCACGCTGGGCGCTCGAGTATAAAAAAGCAAATGCAAAAAAAAAGAAAAAACAACAAGAGCAAAAGCAAATAAACATAATAAAAGTTCATAAAATAAAAATGGCAACCCTAGCGCGACGTCGAGCTGCAACCCTACTCCCATCTGGGGGAGGCCAACAATGCCACACGGTGCGCGCTAGTTTTATGTGCCACATAAACATTTCGCACCTACTGCACGCCCCACCTTTAGACTCTGCCTGCGCTCTCTCACCTTTGCGTTTCGCTTTTTGTTGCCTGCTTTTTGGCGCGCATTTTATTGCTTGTCTTTACACGCCGTCATTTGCGAATACCCTGTAGCACAGTTGGAGCTGGATATTATGTATTAAAATATACAGAACACTTAAATATTTGCTAAAAGTCTAATACAATAAGCTGTAGTTTATTTAACTGGATAAGAAATAAATAAAACATTTCGATATTTTAGGTGGAACAGTTCAACATTCAAACAAAAACATACACATATAAATTTAATTTGTCTTTTAGTTATGAGTACAATTTACTAATTTTTATTTAAAGTTTAGACATTTTTGTGTTCTATTTTTAAATATAAATAGTAATATTTAAAAATTAATGCCTATAAAATATATAAATTTTTATCTTTAAATTATTAAGGGGTATTTTAGAATGAAAAACTTTGAAATAAAAACTTAAATCAATTTTATTTAATAAAAATTATATGGCGTACCAAATTAAGTGGTATCTAGCATAAATATATATTTTCGTTGTTACAGGGTTTTAAATTAAATATCAACAATAAGCTCAAGACTGAAAGCATTTGAGAAGTAGAAATTCCAATTCCACCAACCTGTTTAAATTTGTCGTTCTTTTGAGCCAGTTCGGCGTCCACCGTGTTGAATACTGTGAAAATAACAGTAGCAGCCGCCAAGTGGGCAAAACTTTATTTTTTATTTTTGATTTAACAGTAAGCAATTACAATTGTAACTAGTATTTTTTTATTTTATTTTTATACTTTGGCAATTATGTAGTTTAATACTCAAAGAAGAACTGGCAACGCTGCAAAGCAGGCCAAATAACTCCTAATTAGATCCGAATCTTTGCTTGCTCAGGCAACACTGGCGATCTGCTGTTATTTAACACTTTTAGTTGTTGCTGCTGCTGACAAATTTGGTGGGCAGCAACGCTTTTTTTTTTGCTAGAACTTCGCGAACGTCGCGCGAAGGAAACGGAAGCCGGAAATTGCGCGCACAACAAACAGCAGCAGCGGCGACAGTTGTTGTTTTTGGCGTTTCAGTTGTTGTTCGCTATTTACTCACAATTGAAACCGCAAACTGCCGTTGAGCTCTTCAGCGTTTATGCGGCGCTTTATGCGTATTTAAATATGCTTGAAATGCAATTAATTTTGATTTTTAAATAACACACGCATACACTGACAAACACACAAACACTCGTACACAGAAGTAAACACGCCGAGAGTGGGACAGAGTAAGAGGGAGGGAGACAGAGACAGAAACTGAAACGAGCGGGCAATTAATTATGTTTGCCTTGTTGTGCCGCGTGTTTATTGTGCATATTTAACATGTCAAGCGTCGAACTTTTTTAATGAGTTTTTCGCGCGCGGCGCCAAATGTTGCAACGCTGTCAACTAAAATATTATATTTTTATTTTCTCTGCTTCTTTGTCGCGTATTTAGCTTAGAACTCGTATGAAAAATGATTCGCCCAAAATTGCAACGTTTGTTATACTCCGTTTTACGCGTAACAATTTAACGTATTGCTTCGAATTACTCACGACGTACGTCCGATGCCAACGACAAACGCTCGCAAACTAAAGTACCAACAGAACGGAACGATGGTAGCTAACGAAACAGAATGCTGCTAGCATCCTACGTATGCTGTTTCCAATGAGTGTAAGCACTTTCCTTAGTTCCTTTTCGTTTCCAATTGGTTCGCTCTCGGACGCCGCGCTCGCGCTTTCTCTCACTCTCTGTCTCTCTCTCTCTCTCTGAGTTTCATTTTAGCCAGCTGGCGCGCTCTTTGCATTTCGTCTGCTATTAGCCGGCTTTTGTTTTTGTTTTTATTTTTATTCATGCACGCGTTTGTCGGCATTTGCTACGTCATCTGACGCTGCCGCTGCCGACTGCAACTGCATTGATAATAAATTAGAGATCAGCGTCGACTGAGGCCAAGCGTAGGTGTGAAAAGGTAAATTTAATGGAATTATTTGCCTTTTTACTCAATGCGTCCACAGTAGCTGCTGCTGCTACTGTTGCTGCCAGCAATGTAGGTTTAGGTAACCCTACGACAAGTGCACACCTGTTGTGCAGGTAATTGGCATAATGCACATATGGAATAGAAACTGAAGGTATTTGGATTTTTGCCGCAAGTTTGGCTTAATCTGTTAATATAGATGTGGATTCATCTATAAATATATACATAGATATACACATGAATACATACATACATATTTACATATATATGTATTTATATATATGTATATATATATATATATATATATATATATACTTTTATCAACTCATATTCATTTTGCGTCGTTAAACTTAATTGAAAAACCATTAAGACCCGCACTATTAACTAACTATCTATTCTCCACATTTAAAATCTCTTTGTCTATGTATGGATGAGTGTGTGTGTATCCTGTATGAAGTGATATTTATAGACTTTTGTGTCCATCGTCACTTGCTCAATTAGCTGCTGAATTGTTTTTAACACCAGCTGAAAAAGGAAAACAAACTCAATTCCCGGCTGAAAGTAGGCCATAAATCATGAGAAACTCCCTCGGAATTTTACATAAATAATTGTTACTGCCAAAAAAAGGAGAAGAAGAAACCTCAGCGTGGGCTTCAAACACATTTGTGTCGCGCCTAAACATCATTAAAAATAAAACCCAATTAACGGTTTCGAGTGCCAGCAGCAACAGCAGAAGAACAATGAGAAAGAGCAGGAGGATTCGTTCCTCATGTACATGCTTCCAAAAATAGTTTGGCAAAAATATGTGAAAAATGAGCGGAGAGAGGAAAGCGGAATGGGACAAAAATGTCATTGGCATTGCACACACACAAACACACAAGCACGCACACACACACACATAGTCGAGTTGTTAGTGTTGCTGTTGCGGTCGCATTGTTTTTGGCTTGGCTTGGGCTGGGTGGTTGCATTTGGCTTCCAGGGGTAGCTGCGCTGCATCTGCTTGACAATCCATAAGCAATTGTTGCTGCTTTCCTTTTCCTTTTTTTTTGTAATTTTATAGCTCACGTTAATCCGCCGGCTAAAGCAATGCAACCCTGAAGGGGCAACCGGACTTAAGAGCTCTAGCCATAACGGGTCGCAGGCGATGAGCTAGCTCAATTTGTTAGACCAAAGGGGAATTTTAGATGAGACTGATGAGCTGAGTTCAATAGAAATTGAATTGCCTGATTAAAAGTGCTGCTAATAAATTGTTGCGTTTTGTTTATGTTATTGCAAACTCTGAAGTGTTGACCCTTCCATTCATGCAGCAAAAGCGCAACTAATGCTGTTTTGATTTCTGTGTGTGAGTGCGTTTTGTGTGCATTCATGTGTTAAGTGTGTGAGAAAAATTGCAGAAGCGCTTAAGGTGCCCGTGACACAAGTGACTTGGCAAAATTCGCTGCCCAGAAGTGAAATCAAAAGCAATTCACATGCAATTCACATGCAATTCACATTTTACAATTAGCTGGCAACTCTGCGCAAGCTAAGAGCGCGTGCTTTCACTCTCTTAACTGCACGGCTCACTGAAGGCACTCTCTGCGCAACCTTCCAGTGAGTGTTTGCTTTAAAGAGAAAGCTTTACGCGCTCTTTTGCTAATCAAGCGTCGACGGCGTCGGCGGCGCCAGCAGCGGCAACAACAAAGCAAAACATCAGCCAAGGACGCTACGCAAGTTAAATTAAAAAAAATTATGCACAACATTTGAAGCATTACAAAATATATGCAACAACAATAACAACAACAACAACTAAACACAAATCACGCAAAAATAATTTATTATTTTACGCCTTATCCTTGAGCCGCAGCCAAGGCGATGTGTTTGTCTTTGCCTCTGCCCAGCTGGTATGCCCCCACTCCTTCCCCTCTCTTTCACTCTGTCTCTCTCTATATCGCCTCTTGTTTCTTTGCTTTAGCTGCTTGGCAAAATTCTATGCTTAACGCCATTTTTGTGTGCGAGACACGATGACGACAAATTTTCAACGTGCAACCTGACACTGAGCTGAGATTTTCCAAATTCCTTGCCTTCACTGCCAAGCAGGCAACCCCACGTCTAACTCTTCTTGTCTAGGCACCATGATTGCTGCATGCATGCAAAACTGCTTCACGACTGGGAGTCGACTGTTGAAAGGATTAGATCCTGGCTCATGTGTGTGCCGCATATTCTTCTCTCTCTCCCACACACACACACACACTCTCTCCCTCTCCCTCTCCCTCTCCCTATCTCTCTCTCTTTCTCGCACTGTCTTGCTCTCGCTCTGTCTGATTGCACGCCAGACGAAGGAGCGCGTGGGCGTTTTCGACGGGGTGGCAACTACGTAAAAAGTATTTGCACAACTCTCAAGTGGGTCAAATGATTAGGCGGCATGATGAAGTGCCTTTGCCACTTGAGCCGACACACCCACGCCCCCATACACAGACAGCGCGTGGGAGGGAGGCAGCACGATGCCACCAAAGACAACGTCGAACGCCCATCCAAAAATAAACAGTTTAATGTTTTGAATGAGCAATTGAATTTGATTATGCACGAATGTGTGTGTGTGCGTGTGAGTCCTAGATGTATGGTAGCCAGAAGGATGCCTCAACTGCTGCTGCTGGAAGAGAAACAAACTGCGTGCAGCTCTTGGCAATGTGTTAAGCAAATGCACTTCGCAGATGATGACTGAAGGACCAAGAGGCGGACAAGGTGGAATGGAAAGGAGAAAGACAGGTTTACAGGCACTGCACTAAATGTGATAAAAGAGCTTACGTGACATTAGAAAGCACCTTACGTGGGATTACGTTGCACGTGATTACGTTGAAAATTGACAAACATAGTACGTAACAACCTTTAGACAGGATTAGATACTATGAACGCTTTGATTAGAACATAGTCACATTTGGTTAAGATAGTGAGAGTAAGTTCGGGAGTGAGTGAGCGGATAAGTGATGAAGGGTACATTAACATGTAAACTAATATCTTAAGCTCAAATTTGATGTTGAAAATAATAAAAATATTTAATACATAATATTTTAAGAGTTTTAATAGATTAAAATAAAAATATAAGTTTTGCAATATAAAAAATACTTTTCAATATGATAAATAAGAGTATAATATGATTATTTTTGTTATTCAATAGATTTTATAATATAATTCAAATATGTTTCATATCTAATTTTCTGACCAATACAAGTAACAATATTATATAATACCAGATGTTATTCACAATTAGCAAAGTTATCTATAAAACTTCTATGACTTGTGACTAAAATAAAACTTAAATTAAAATTTTCTTTCCAACTTATCTGGCGCTAAAATTAAGCAAGAATCGGAAATTAATAAGATTACAAAGCCTTTCATATGCCCATCTAATTATTATCATGCCTCTACAGGCATAAACTCTACAATGAAGTATGAATAGTTTTCATAAAATATAAACAGTTATTGTCGTAGCTAACTTATGGGTCGCTGGCCCAAATATTTCAACTTTCATTGCATGCTGCAGGTCACAACAATAGCCACAGCCACAGCAACAGCAAGAGGAAATTGCTACTTAAATTCAAAGCCAATCTGTGGCAAAATGTTGCCAAAAAAAAAGGAAAAACCCAAGCCAACAAGATAAAAGCCGAGCACAAAAACCCAGCCCAACCACAAAACAAAGGCACACAAAATATGGCTGGCAGCACGTCTGTCCGTTCGTCCCTCTGTCTGTCTGACAACAACCAAAAACAAGAAGAGAACAGCCAGAGCAAGCCCAGCCAAACGGCGTCGACATTTAACGTTTTAAATCTGATTATTCCACAACAACTGTCAATAATGCAAACTGTTTAACCCCCCTCCCCCTCCCCGCTACCAAGCCCTCCATTACCTGC